ATTATCTTCTTGGTGTCTAAACACCAAAGGCGGAATCCCTTCACTCCATGGGTGATTCCCATAAAGAGAGCCTTCTTTGCTCTCGGATCAAGCTTGGATTCCTTCACATGATAATAAGCAGTGGATCCAAATACATGCAAGGAATCATAATCAGTAGTAGGTTTTCCAGACCATACCTCCAATGGTGTTTTTCCTCCTATCGCTGATGACGGTAGACGATTGATGAGATGGCCAGCATATGCCACAGCCTCAGCCCAAAATGCCTTTCCTAACCCAGTATTAGACAACATACATCAAACTTTCTCCAATAGTGTCCGATTCATACGCTCTGTCACCCCATTCTGTTGTGGTGTATTTCTAACAGTGAAGTGTCGAACAATACCATACTCATGGCAAACGTCAAAGAATGGGTCACTTTTATATTCCCCTCCATTGTCCGTCCTAAGACGTTTGATCTTTCTACCAGTCTGGTTCTCGATCATATTTTTCCATTTCAGGAAAATTTGAAGCACTTCATCTTTAGACTTCATCGGATATACCCAAACTCTTCTGGAAAAGTCATATACAAAAGTTACAAAATAATGGTTTCCTCTTAAAGACGATGTCTTTGAAGGACCCCATACATCTGAGTGAATATAATCCATAATACCTTTTGTATTATGTATAGTGGTGCCAAACTTCACTCTCTTCTGATTTCCTAGAACACAATGCTCGCAAAAGTTCAATTTGCAAGCCTTTGTACCTTTCAACAATCCTTTCTTTGCCAGAATTTGCAAGGAATTTTCTCCAGCATGTACCAACCGCATATGCCACAACTGGGTTGTGTCCAAATCATCACCTCCAGAAGCTGCTGCAACTTCTCCAATAATTGTACTACCTTGGTAGTAATACAAATTATTTTTCCTGATGCCCTTCATCATCACTAGTGCGCCATATGTGACTTTTAAGACTCCATCTCTCATAGTGACTACTGAGCCTTTGGATTCCAAGGCTCCCAACGAGATGAGATTTTTCTTCAAACTGGGTACGTATCGGACATTCGTCAGAACTCTGGTTGATCCAAATTGATTCTTCAATCGAATTGAACCTATCCCAACAGTTTTACAGGCATTGTCATTGCCCATATAAACAACTCCTGCATTTAGTTCTGCTAAATCGGAATGGAATGCTGTTGATGAAGCAACCAATGATATGTCATAGTCATTTTCATCATGCTCTGCAACACATGCATCTGGAGCAGTTTTTCCTTTCTTCTTCAGCTTCGGACAATCTTTCTTCCAATGGCCTTTCTCATGACAAAAGGCACATTTATCTTTTCCCAGTCTGGACTTCGACTTTGATCTCACTCTCCACTTTGGCTTTTGACTTTTCGAGCGACCTCTTGCCACCATGGCCTTCGCTGCTTCGTACTTGCTCTCCTTCTAGGTTTTCTTCCTGAGCTCATAACTATACAAAGCAGCAGTTACATCTTTAAGGGTAACATTATCTTTACCATGAAGTAACGTTGTCTCAAGGTGCTCAAATTCATCTGGAAGAGATGACAACAACATCAAGGCCAAATCTTTATCTTTGAAGGTTTCATCCATGCTCAATAAGTCTTCCACTAGCTCATTGAACGCAGTGATGTGTTCATTCATACTGGTGCATGGTTGATAATCAAATCTGAATAATCTTTTCTTCATGTGGAGACGATTCTGAGAGCTTTTCTTTAGGAATTTTTCCTCCAATGCTTTCCACATCTTACTTGCAGAAGTCTCATTCTTGTAGCCATACTTCTGCTCCCTGGAAAGATAAGATCGAATCGTGCTGCACGTCAAATGATTGATTGTTCCCCATTCTTTATCTTCCATATATTCAGACTTTTCTTCCTCAATGCCGATGTCTAGACCTTGTTGGAAGCGTCTAACACCTCGCCTTGCCACATGCCAAAATGACCGGATCCATCAAATAACTCCTCTGAGAAATTTGTATTTGACATTACCCTCCTCACTAGTCCAGATGAAGAGTTTGATGTCTCAACTGATCCGTATTTTGGCATTTTAATTCTAACGAACAATATTCAATATCACGAACTGTATCTTTTCAGCAACGGAACCACCAGGGTAACCTCAACCGAAGCTCTGATGCCAATTGTTGGGGAAACCGAGTTATTTCCCACACGAACGTAGTTTCAATATTGATTTGAAATATCAAGATTAAAACCACCAAAGATTGCACAACGGACAAACCCGTCAAACTATTGAATATTTAAACATAATGGAAAACCGAATAAAAAAACAATAAAGGAGAGAACACACCAAATTTACGAGGTTCGACGAGAATGTCGTCTACTCCTCGAGCACCACATCGGATGATAACTTCAATATATCTCCAATATTACAACAAATGGAATTCTTTAGAATTCCCAAAGTGAGAGAATGAAGAATACAAGAGGAAGAGAGAACTTGTTTTGGGATTATTTCTAATGGAAATACTTAGGCCTATTTATAGTTGAGTTTTAAAAACAATATGTTCAAAGTTTGGCCACCTACCAAAGAATTTTCCAATGTGTACAAGTTAGCCACCAAATATGAAATTCACATGTTCAAAGTTTGGCCACCAACCAAGATGAAATTCCAATAAGTTGGCCACCAACAAAGATGAAATTTCCAACTTGTCAACTTAATTTCTAGACAAATCTAACACACCCAACTTTCAGGAGGCAGAGTCCACATGAGGGCAGTGCAACATCTGGTTGAAGGAGCATCAAAGTTTAAATTGGTGGCAACAACGTGAGAAGTCCAAGAGAGGCTCTGGTAGAGAATATCTTCCATCTATAAACAATGGTCAGAGAACAAAAAGGAAATCTTATGTTTCCAGATGTACCATAAGAGAAAGGGGAAAGGAGAACCCCACGAGAACAACATATTTGGGATTTTATCGTTGCGACCGAGGTTGTGTTGGATCCAGTCAGAGAGGCCTCAAGAAAAAAAAGTCTGGAGGTGTGAGGGGGGCAGCGTTTTTTTTTTCTTCCAGAAAGTCGAAACCATTTGACAATCCCTAAGGACATGGATAGTTGACTCTAGACTGTGTTGCAATGGGGACATATCGGATTTGAGGCTAGGCCACGACGAACACGCTCAAGGTTTGTCATGAGACAATTTCGAATGATAAGTCTAAAAAAACACGGATCCACTGGGGAATTCGAAGACTCCAAATTCTCTTCCATAGAGGGTCAAGTTCGTCCCAGTTAGTACCTGTCAAGTGATTATAATCAGAGCTAATTCGAAAATTATAGAGAGTCTCATTTCCAAACACATCGGTTCTCATCACTTTCATTAGATGGGGGGACAATGTAGAGAATATGAGGAATGATATTATCCGGAAACAAAGTGCAAAGGGCTTCAATATCCTAGCTGCCATTAACATCAAGGATTTTGTCGAAATCAATATCAGTATTTACGGCCTGAGATTGAAGTGTGTAATCGCGTAATGGGCCAAGGGTAGGTGTCCATTCGTCTTCTAAAATGTGCAGGTGTCGTCCATTGCCAGGCAGCCATATTAAATGCTTTCGAAATTGATCCCAAGAATGGGACAGTGCTCTCCATAGAGGCGAGCAAGCTGGTCTAACGATCGACAAAGGGCATAGAGTATTCATACGGTATTTTTTACCAGAATTTTGATCCAATAATCATTGGGACGAGATAAGGGCATGACAGATTTTCCAATTGAAGGTTGTGTTGTGTTCATACGCCTTGTGAATTCTCAAGCCGTCACGATGAATCAGTTGATAAATTTTTGACCAGTTAACAAGGGATATTTTGCACCCTTAGAAGAAGAACCCCAAATAAAATATCTAACAATTTTATCAATCTCATTACGAATGCCAATCAAGAGACGAGTAGTCTGCATGAAATAAATCGAGATTAACTCTATATAGTATTGATATTAGTTATAACAATAATATTGATACTTCTAATGATTGTACTAGTATTGTTATTTTGATTTCAAAACCTCAAGAATTCTCTTTACAATATCGATACTACCTATATTATTTATAACAATAGTATCCCTACTATAAGGTAAGTAATAATTCTTCATCCCTAATAATTATATTTTTATATTTAATAAATGTAGTATTGATACTCTAGATATCTATGCAACATTTATTATTGAAAAATCTCATCCTAACAATTGTATTAGTTAAAGGGTGTATAAAAGTAGGATCTAAGGCTCATATGAAGATAAGAGATCATAAAGAAGATTAAAACATTTAACTTGCTAAAATTCAAGTAAATTTATATTCGTATTCTTTTTGTTTTCAAAGGAAATTTATGTTTATTTTCGAAGGACATTTTCTCAAGCGTTCTATTTATTATTGAATTGTGCAAACACATTTCTAGTGAGTTATTTTTTGAGTTTGTAAATTTATAATTTTCTCTTTGAAAGAATGACTAAAAAATTTAGGGTATAATTCTTGAGGGAGTTTGTGAGATTGCACCTTATCTTCAAAGGTAGATATAAATTAGTCAATTTATAAAAAAGTACTATTGTGGATAACTAAGGTAGTAGATGTAAAATTTTTTTAGAAGTTGAACCACTCTAAAGTTCTTATGTTTAATCTTTTTTAATTTTTCTCTAAGCTTCCACCAAAATTTTTAATTGTCATTCAACATAAATCCTAAAATGTCACTCTCTATCAATTAGTAAATCCAAATGTTCAAAAAAAAAATTTAGGACTAGTTTAGAATGAAAGTCATACTTTAGGGATGAAATTGAAACGTTCAAAAGTTTACAGATTAATTTAGAATGATAATTATAATTTAAGAATATAATTTGAATAATTAAAAATTTAAAGACCAATTTAAAATAAAAGTCATACTTTGAGAACATATAATACAATTAACTCTAAAATAAAATATTAATATCAAAATACTTAAAAATTAAAATTAAAATAACTATTAAATTAAGTATTAAAAATTTTTTTTAACATTATGTCTTAAATTTTTGAACGCAAAACGTGATAACCCAAAAGAAGAAAGACTGAAGCACGAAAGCGGTTTCGCTTAGCTTGACTGAGGAGAAGCCTGTAGATAACGCCGTCCTCAGAATCATTCATCGACGCAAAAGCGATGGCTTCCAATTCCCATCAACCAGGTCCGTTTTTTCTTTTAATTTGTTAGGGTTTATTATCATGTTTTCACTGATTGATCGATCCAATACAGAATTGTAGGTTTTTAGTTAATCCTGCTTAATTGGTGGTTTGTTTGAGGAAGTTAAGAATCAATCAAGTATTCGTTCCCAAATTTGTGCATTTTTGTGGATTTTGTTTTTTTTGGTGGATTGTTTATGATATAATTAGGTCAAAGAATTAAAAAGATAATTATTGGATTTGGAGTTTAAAAATTAAACATTTTAAATCGATTTCTTTTTTGTTTATTTCGGTTGTTATTGATATTCTGTAACTACAGCTACCGGTGGTTCTCCTAATTCGTGGGAACAAGCTGGGAGGTTGACTGCTTCTGCACCCTTTAAGCCACCATCAGCTGGCAGCACCAGTGACGTGGTTGAGGCGTCTGGAACAGCAGGACGAGGTGAAATTGTTTCAACTGCTGATAGAACTGCAGCTGTGTTTTGAAATGCCGTTGGCCGGCCTTTACCTAACAGGCACTGGGAGCAACAGACTTATCGTAGCACTTATGGAGGTAGAGGTTCAATTTTCTGTCATAGTTCAGAAGGTTGCATATTATGGAGAAGCCCCTGTTGCAGGTTCAGGTTTAAACTACAATTCAGGGTATGGTTCGGGAATGTATGGTTCAACGTATGGACATGGTGGATTAGGGTCTTATGGTGGTGGATTATATAACAATGGCATGTATAGAGAAGGTTATGGTGGTCTTTATGGGAACTCTGGAATGAACGGTGGTGTAACATATGGTGGTGGTCTTGGTGGTTTTGGGGGGTTCAATGGGTGGATATCGTATGGGGGGCATGGGACCGTATGGTGAGCAAGATCCAAATAATCCCTTGGTGCTCCATCATCCACACCAGGCTTTTCGATTTCCGTGTGGTAATTCCTTTCTTATCTTGTAATTGATTTAAATTTTTATCTGATTAAATGTAGACATTATCACGAATGTCCAATCCTAGTTATAGTGGTAACCCACTCCCTTGTTATTGTTGTGGTTTTGAGGAAAAAATGGGCTAGATAATTTTCATTTTGTGCAAGTCCATGAAATTGCTTTTTTCATATTAGTTGATAATTAAAAGCAGATTTTCATCTCCCAATTTGTCCTTTGCTCTATTCTCACGCTTAAAGTATGTGTTGGAGGAAAGATAATAATCGTATTTCATGTTTTTACTGCCCATTTATATGTTCCAAAAAAAATACTGTCCATTTACTGATGTACTAAAATACTAAATGTGGAGGTAAAGATATTGCTTTTACTGTTTTATGGGGTTTGGGGTTTGTTTGTCAGGGTTGCAGGTTGCTTAGGAAGTGGGGTCAGTTGCATGATTTAGTTTTAGGAGTTTATTCCTTTGTGTGTTTTTCAGTTCCGAGTCGTGTTCTTTCACTTTGTTATATTGATAAATGCTTGATTCACTGATTGCAGATGCAAGGTGGTGTTAACTTTTTTGGCCGGATATACATTCTGATAGATCAGAATACACAAGCATTCCATATGTTTATGTCTGCTCTTCTTCAGGTGCCTGCTTTCTTTATGTTTTTTCTCCTTATATGTTCAAATTTGACATGAATAAGTAATAGCGGAATCTTTAAACTATGGTTGATATGAGATTCGTAACATGTAGACTAATTATTTGCAGCTTTTCGATCGCACCGGAGTATTGTACGGGGAATTAGCTAGATTTGTGTTAAGATTGCTTGGTATCAAGATAAAACCCCGCAAGATCAATCAATCAGGACCTGGTGGATTCCCAGGACCGCATAACCCTCATGGGAATCAAAACCATATTGAGGCTGCAAAGGCTGCGCCAAGCGCTGCATGGGACAACGTATGGGGTGAAAAGGGTAGCTCTTACTTCAATCATCGATTTCCATCCAATGATTGCAGGTAAATTAACCCAAAATTGTTCAAAAGGCTTATCGGAGTACGGATTGAGATAAATACAACATCTTGCACCTGTTTGATTCACGCAGCTTGGTGAAGGGTAGGTTCATCTGAATAAATGTTTGTGGTGGTATTTTTTCTGCAGGGTTTGAGTGCACCAAGTAGTCCCATGGTGTTAGAAAGGTAAAGGAAATTATGATTATTGATGCTAAGGAAAATATGATGCTCGAATGTAGAGTCACAGTGATTTAATTTGCGAAATGAATTAGTAATTAATGTTACGCCAGTCTTGATATTTTAATAAAATTGAGAATAAGAAATAAGATTGTAGATGTGTATTTGAATTTCAGGTTTATGGAACCTTTATCTCTTTGCTATATATGATTTTAAATTTTCTTTTCATAAAGCTTGAGAATTATATTACATGCCCATTCATGATATGTTTCTTCAAATCAGATTAAATTTTTAATTAAATATAATTTTTATACTAATGTATGATTTTGATTACTGTAATAAATTTATTTTTTTAAATCAATTGAAGTTATTCTTTTTGAAAGTTAAAGAGTTAAATTTAGATTATTGTAATAAAAAATACAAATTATATTTATGAAATGAATTGAAACATGATACAGTATATGGATTGTAGTTAAATCATTGCGAGTTACATAAGGTTGATTATAATTAAATCATTGCAAGTTATAAGGAATGGAACAATTTCTACAAAATGTATGATATATATTTTTTTATTAAATTGAGGTTATTATAAGGTAGTATATATTTTAAAAATTTTAAACTATTTGATTAAACGTTCAAACATTTTTGCAAAGGTTGATGTTCGAATGTGGTACATCTAGGAACAAATTATCAAGATAGTTTGGTTCTTGCAAAATATATGGATATGTATTGAAGTATTAGCTGTGAGCTGGCAAAGAATATGGTTGTGGTGAGTTGGCAAAATGACATTGGGTCCAGTTTGTTGTGAAAGTTGTTAACCCTCTCATGTTTATTATGATGTATTAAAAGGCCTATATATATTTGCATTGTATTCAGTGAAATCATCAATGAAGAATATAATCCTCCTTTATAATTTATAGTTTCATCTTTATGTATTTGTAAAACTTTCGACGTGGTATCAATATCTCTATATCCTGGGTTTCTCGTTTTCGTTTTTGTTTTTGTATAACCTTTTTCTTTTGTCTCCGATGACTCCTTCGAGTTCGTTCGGTGATGTTGTTGTGTTCTCTGGTGGCTTGTCTGCTTTGTCCTCTAAGACATTCACCAATAAAAAGATCAGCGTCCTTCTCGATGAACTCAACTTTTTGCTACAAAAGCAATAGATCCTGTTGCGGTGCGAAGGCACCGTTTGGAAAAGCTTTTAACCGGTGAAGCTTAGTCACCACCACAGACGGTGGTTCTTGACTCTGACCAGATGTGTGAGAATGAAAGAGTTTGAGGTTTTCAAGGCCCAAAATAGTACCTTAGCATCTTGGTTGCTTTCCACTGTGAGTCCTCATCTCCTGCCTCAGTTCGTCGGCGCCGAAACTATTGCAGATATCTGGCGGACTGTCAATTCCTTCCTTGCAAGCAAATCGACCTCCTCCTTTATGAATCTCCATTAACGTCTGAAGACTGTTAAGAAAGGTTACCTAAGCATGAGGGCTTATATTTCTCTGGTTAAAGAGATCTGCGATGGTCTTGCTTCTTGTGGGAGTCCGGTGTCAGAATTTGAGCGCGTTGTCACCATCTTGAGTGGTTTACCGAACGAGTATCGTTCTTTACTGACTGTTACCACATCCAGTCGAGAGGTTGTAACCTTGGATGGTGTCATTTCGGTGTTACTTGACGCTTAGCTGCAACAACATAGCTTTGAACAGTTTGATAGCCTAGCCATTAGTGTTAATGTTGCTCACGCCAATCTTTCTGCTGACTCTTGTCCTGCACCCAAAGCTGTTGCGTTAATCGATGGTCAATCTCAGGGCGGTCGTGGTCGTGGTCGTGGCCGTGCTAGAGTTCAATAACAATTGTGTAGTGAAAATGGACATCTCGTGAATCGTTGTTGGTACCGCTTCGATTAGTCATTTGATGGTGTTTCAACTGGAAGAAATGAGCACCGCTATGGAGGTAATTCTCCTTCAACTAACATGTGTTTCTATAATGCTAATTCTGTTCAATCTGGTTGTGCTTGTGTTCATCATGCTTAGTCTCATGCAAACGTGCATCCTGCTCGTGCACCTAATACCTCATCTGCTACTTTAGATAGTGGATTGAGTCAATGTTTTGTTGACTCCGGTGCCACTCGTCATGTGACTGCTGCTACTACTGATCTTACAAAGAAGGCTGATTACAACGGAGCAGGTAAGCTTCTCGTTGGTAATGGGGAAGGTTTGTGTTAGGATTTACAAAGCTCGATTTGAACAACCCGAAAAATGTACACGAGGGGTGAATTATAAATTGTGTTTAGGGAATGAGAAGAAAGACATGATAGACAATTTTGCGCAGCGATTTATTGTGGTTCGACTTCTCAAATAAGTCTAACTCCACTACCTAAGCTCCTCATTTAGGATTTTCCAACAAATCCACTAATTTGTTCTTTCTTTTTCATGGACAATGAGATAACCTTTACACAACTCCCTAACTTTTCAAAGGCTCAGCTAGAATCAAAACCCCTTTACAAGGAAAAAGATGTAAACAAAGAAAACCTCTAAAATGAAGGTGTTTGCAAAGAATTAAAGCTCACAAAAACACTAATATGTACAAGAGAATATATATATAGAGTGAAAAGCTCTTTTCTTGTGTTTGATTGCTTGGATAGGGTTCTAACCCTTCTTCAAGTGTCTTGAACTTGTATTTATATGTTGGAATGTGTTTGTGCCCGTTTCTAGCCGTTGGGAGTGATTTGGAGCCGTTGGGGATGTTTTCTCTACAAAATAAAACTGGCCAGTACAGAGGGTACCAATACTCCTATAGTGAGTATCAATACTACCTTTGTTATTTTTAAATAAAACTAGCCGTTGGGCCTGACGATATCAATACTAAGCATATGGTATTAATACTACTATGTAAAGTAGTATCGGTACCCCTTTGGGTATCTGTACCATTTTTGCATTCTGGAATTTGAGCAATGCTGATAATCAGTACTACCTAGAGAGTATCGATACTTCTTTTACATAGGGTATCAGTCATATGAACAATATCGATAATGTTCATATAATATTGATACTATAAGAACAGTATTGGTACTACGTACATTGAAAATCAGTTTTGTGCTCAAATTCACTTTTAATGGACTTTGAATTATTTTTGAAAAAATTGAATAAATTCAATTCAAGTCCAAAAATATTTTGCCTTAATTTGTTATATCAAAATATAGTTGAACAATCTCCCCCTTTTTGTAACAAAACATTCAAAATTTGTTTTTGGAAAAACTCCCCTTAAAAATATTTTATGAAAAAGATACCAATTGTTGGAAAATATTCAGCTCCCCATTTTTCTTTGAGAAATTGATTTTTTCAAACCCATACTTCTCCACCATTTTGTTATATAAAAAATAATTTAAATTTAAAGTTTAAAAATAACATTGGAGAGTAAGTGGTAAATTTGACATTAAAAGAATTTGAAAATTCAAAGCTCCCCTTCAAAAAGTGCATTCCAAACAAAAATTTGACTTCAAAGGCACGACACTTAAGAGAAAATTGAATTTCAACAACGATGAACAAACATGCTAGTAACACATGAAATTCAATATATCTAAATCTAAAATACTTTATGCAATACCAATTGTTGAAATTAAGTGCATGTGCATACAACTTTCCAAAAATGTAATGCATTTAAAAATAAAATTGTTATCAATTGTTAGAGAGAGATCATTTGAAATAAGTCACCTGCATAAACATTTAAATTTAGGTCAAAAATTAAAATTTGTAAAAATAAAGCATTTGAAAAGTTGATATCAATTGTTAGTGAGATATCATTTGCATTTCAGACCAATTTTGACAAAATTTCATTATGATGAACAAACATAAAAAAATCATTAAAACTTTAAAATGTCCATCATAATACTCTTTTCAACATACATGAGCTGAAAAATATAAAATCATTTAAAATCAAAACTCATGCATGCATAAACCTAAATGAGCAACCAAATATCCAAAAATTAATAGCATTAAGCTTAGAGGTTACCCATTCCTTTTCAAGTGTGGCTAGAGCATCTCAATTTCTTCACTTTGTCACCATTGCTCCCACACACCTACAAGAGACATTTAAGTAAAATTAGGTATCAAAATTGCTTTGGATCCTTGAACATGAGTTTCAATGCCATTTTTTCCTTTTGGAACACTTGTCTAATTTAAAAGACTTTCTTTTTTTTATAGGACAAGCATGTTCCGTGTGACCATGAAAATGGCAATGTGAGCATTTTGCCATTTTTAAACATAATGAGTTGTTTTTAGAAATTATTTCTTTTTCTTTTGTTAAGCTCTCAAGCTTAACTTTCAAATCAAAATTTTCTTTTTTCTAAATCACTGATTTTGACTTTTGAAAGCTCTAAATTATTTTTCAAAGATTCAATTTGTTTTTCAAAATCAACTTTTGCTTTCAAAACCAAATCATTTTCAACTTTAAGTTTTAAAATTAATTTCTTCTATTTGGAAATTATGGTCTCAAATTCCAAATATAACTCATTGTAAGCAACTTGTAACTCATCAAAAGAATAAGAATCTAATTCATTTAAGTTAGAAGTTACCATTGAATCTTCTCCGATGGCCACGAGGCATAGGTTGGCTACTTCATCTTCATCATTAAAGTCATCTTCATCACTCCAAGCCACCACAAATTCCTTTTTCTTGCATGATCAATTCTTCTTTAGGAGAGGACATTCATACTTGACATGGCCCATTCTTTGACATTCGAAGCACACTGGGGGAGTCTTCTTTTTGCTCGATTCATACTTCACTTTCTTGGAAGTCATGAATCTCTTGAATCTTTTGAAGAGCTTGGCCATATCTTGTTCATCATCGTCTTCATCCACCTCTTCATTTGAATCTTGATTGCTCTAATTGGTGGATTTGAAGTCAATGCCTACCTCATTCTTTTTCTTGTTTTGCTTCTCTTCATCTTTTCCTCTTCCTTCACCATCAACTCTTAAGTGATAAGAGAATTAATAAAGCTCATCAAGAGTGAGAGACTTTAGATTCTTAGTCTCAATGACCTCTGTCTTCTTCGATTGCCATGACTTTGGACGAGAGTAAATCATCTTTCTCACAAGCTTCTCATTAGGGA